AAAAAAAAAAAATAAATAATTAAAATTCAAATTTAACTCATCTTTAACTAAACCCACTATCTTCAATATTACTAATATAATTAAATAATATCACTCAATCATTTGTACACATCACATCAACTTTAATTCAGTATTCATTCACTCACATTATACTAACCATCATTTCCAATCATTTTTTTTCTACTTTACATCAAATCAATTTTAATTATTTTATTTTAAATATTATTTTAATATAAACTTAAATTCACACTAACAACTAATCATAGCATCTTTTTTGAAATTAACTATGATTAACAAAAAAACCAATTAAAAACCAATCAAATCTAGAAGTCTTTACAAATTTCAAATGAATACATCCCCTTAATACATTTGCATAGTGAGGTGAAATGACTGTTTTCACTTAAAAATATATACACACGTTACTTTTTTAATAATTGGAGATTTTTTTCTCTACCGACATAATATATTAAAGCTCAAATTATAGTTGTCAACAGGCTTTGTATTTTTCTCATCCGCGAACAACCTCCTTAAAAACATCGAAGGAGTCAAGGATATCAACAGGCAACACAGAGTTTACACACACAACCTAAAAAAATGTGAAAATAACTCCCAAGTGTTAGGATGTAATTGAATATGGATTTATTTTGTTTTGACTGGTTCTTTTGGTTTACTATAGTTAATTTTAAAAAAAAAATGTTGAATTATGTTTGAGTGAACTTTCGATTTTGTATTAAAAATAATATGATTAAAGTTGATTTGATGTAAAAGTGGGAAAAAAGTGATTGGAAGTGATAAGTAATAAACATTATGTGACTGAATGAATATTAAAGTAAAGTTAATGTGGTGTATAAGTATGATTGATTGATATTATTTAATTATACTAATAATATTGAGAATAGTGTTGTTAAGTGACCACGCGTCGCAACGCGGCAAAATTATAATTTATATTTTCCTTAACCGACTTCTACCAACTAGTAGTAGTAGTAAGCAAGGGTCGATCCCACATGGAGTGTGAATCAAATTGTGAATTTTATCGTATTAATTGAAATTATAAAAGCGATAAAAGTCCAAATAAAAAAATAAAAAAAAAATAAAAAAAAAAATAAGAGAAAGCTTCTTGTTCACGGTTCCGTCTACACCCTCGACCGACTCGTCTAATCAACTTTGGAATCAAATCTCGCTATCTTATGAAATTACTAGCCCTAGGCAACGACACGGTCTGTTACCCAAATTTTTTCTTAATTTTAATTCAACCGCGAGACGCTCTACGATTAAACCTGACTTCTTGTACAGTCCAGAAAAACGTTTTCAATATTTAATACAATTAGCCGCTTTACGAATTAGAAAAAATAGGCTAGACTAAGTAGAGAACTCAACCGCGTTCGTTCACTTAATTAGGCCGTGTTATCCCCGGTAGTTACCATCATCCTGTTACCTCTTATGAATTAAACACAACAACAATTACGGATTGCAGGTCTAATTCAGATGTAGATATGAAAAGTCTAATCTAGGTGATCAATCTAAACAAGACTAACACATCATGGTGAATTATTCAAAATAACACAAGTAATTCCAAAAAGATATTAAAATCGTCAACCATATAAATCAATCAAAACATAGTCAATTGTAGGGTTCGACTTCCCCGGAACTAGAAATAAAATCTAAGCTAACATAATAAATAAAAAGCAAAAGAGAAGAATAAAATTATCCTTCTCGTGTGCTGGTGCGGTCTCCTTCCACGATTGATCGGGTTCCCGTCTTTTTCCTCTGTCCGTGAATTTCCCTAGCTGCGTGACTTTTTTTCTGGCGGCTCCTCAATGTATGTGGCGACTCTGTGTATTCTCCTCCCCGTATGTCGTGTTTTATTCTCCAGCCAATATATATTCCTCTCCCAAAAAAATAAGTCCTAGAATCCTCCCAGCCAATTAAAACTCTTCAAATAATATGACATGGAGGTTGCGTAACTCACCCCACAAATAAGTCTATATGTTTGTGAATAGCCCACTTCCAATAAGCTTAATTAATTCAATTCTTGGATACTTAGCCCAACTAAAACACTTTGACCCAAGAAAGAATGCAGGCCACGCAAGTGGACCTCGATTTTACTGCACCGTGGGCGGGAATGATGGGTATTGGTCCAATAACGGATCACGTGAATTCTCGTTCAATGCCTCGCTTCCACACAATTCTCCAAAATCCTGAAATTAAATCATAAAAATATCATAGCACTCAAATCTATCTAATAAATAAATAAGTCGAAAAATATATAAGTGCGACAAAATTAAGCATATAAAAAAATACGCTAATAAATATATAATATACACACTTTTTCCGACCAATCATTAAGTTAAAGTTGAGTTAAAAAAAGTTATTCAGTTCAAAATGATTGGAAAAAACCAATGAAATTCATATTCAATCACTCTAAGGGTGTGATTGGATATAAATTTAATTTAGTTTTGATTGTTTTTTTTCTTTAAACCAAAGTTAATTTCAAAAAGTTATTGAGTTAGGTTTGAGTCGTAGTTTGAGTTTGTATTAAAATAATATTTAAAATTAAATGATTAAAGTTTATTTGATGTAAAAGTACGAAAAAAGTGATTGAAATTGATAAGTAATTAAAATTACATAAGTGAATGAATATTAAAGTAAGTTTAATGTGGTATGTAAGGATGATTGATTGATATTATTTAATTAAGCTGATAATATTGAGAATAATGTTGTTTTGTTAAGGTTGAGTTAAAAAAAGTGATTGAGTTAAAATTGATTGAAAAAATGAAATCCATATCCAATCACACCCTAAGGATGTGATTGAATATAAATTTGATTTGATTTTGATTANTGAGTTATATTTGAGTGAAATTTTTAGTTTGTATTAAAATAATATTAAAAAAATAATTAAAATTAATTTGATGTAAAAGTAGAAAAAAAGTTATTGAAAGTGATAGGTAGTTAAAATTATGTGAATGGATGGATAGTCTATTAGAATTGATTTGATGTGCAAAGATGATTGGTTGATATTATTTAATTATATTGATAATATTAAAGATAATGAAATTAAATTAAAGTTGAGTTAAATTTAATTGAACACCTTAATTGAATACCATGTTTATTTATATATAGGATCATAGAAGCCCATTCCCCCTTAATTGAATGAATAGGCTTCGAAGTGTGCGAGTCTGCCACTTATATTTAGCGCATTCGAAATTTATATATAGAGAATATACTTAAAATGGTACTTAAAGAAACGTATGGAGTGGGATATAACTTGTCAAAGCATGAAACTTCTACCAGATACACACCTGGTATGCAAAATACCATGTTTTTGGTGGAATGATAGACAATATATCAAATCAAAGGAACCAAATTTAGGAGAGGATTAAAGTTAACTTCGGCTTTTTTCCCTTCAATAAACTAGTATAGCCTGCAGAAATTTGCAGACGCAACTTGCATAACCAGTTTGACTTTATTGCGCTTACTGTTATAACAGTCAACTAATTTAAGGCACAAATGAAAAAAATTTAAAACAAAAACAAATTTGGTTTGTTATACAATTTTTTTTATAAAAAATAAATAAAGAAAAAAAACATACTTAGCAGTTAATGTATGACACTTACCTATGACAATATGTATGTAAATATACCAAACAGATACAACTGTTTAACAATTAGTAAAACTACAAGTAAAAATTATTTAAGGAAGAAGCACACTACACCAAAACACAACAACAATTAAAGATCCACAGCTTCATTGCAAAGTAATCCGATTCAAAAGGCGGTGCAGAACACATTTGAAGAGTGTAACATCACACATTCAGCAAACAATACAAAGTAGTTCGTTGTCCAAGCGGAGAATTTTTAAGTATGAACTTCACAAACATTTACTATAACCGTCACACCAGCTAAAAATCACGATTAGGACAAACATAAAGATAAAAACATAGACAGAATACACGCGATGTACGTAATAACAAAACAAGAAAGACATGAAAACATGATATGTGGCTCTATTGTAGCCATTTTGATGCATAATTTCTTGAAGAAAAAGCTCCAACTGCCCTTATTGGTTTAGCTAGTTTCGGTTCTTGGATTTCTCCACGGCCCTTGGAGCTGTAAAACAAAACTTAGATATATAATTATAGGTTCTTCCTCGTTATGTGCAAAAATAAAATTTAATAACAATAGTGATCATATTAAGTAACAAAATTAATAAACAAATAAATAAAGTAATAATCTTTCAAGTTTGCATATACTATTCTACAAGCATTTGTCTTCAGAAACTGGAACAGTAAGAGGTGATTGTTCGTTATCAGTTATCAAAAGTATACACTGTCAGACAAGAATAGCATTTTTCAATAATGCATATTGCAACTAACATGTTGAAATGAAGTATACAAACACAAACAGTGAAAAAATCAAATGGTTACTAACCTAATCCAATAGCATCAGACCCTTTCATAATTTTGAGCCTCTTGCATGAAGCGATGAACATCCTGAAACAAAAACGGTTATTGCTAACATAGTATCAACAAAACGAATTTTGGATACGACAATGCGTAGGATGAATACACAGAACATTAAGATTATTAACACATACCAGAGATAATAGTCATTTAGCCGACTCCCATAATAGTATTCACCTCAAACTACAACAAATGAAGTTCCTTCTTGAACAATCATTTTCATCAAATAATTAAAGATTTAGAGTTACGCCCTAAACATCACTAAAATACTACTCAAATGACCTGATTATACTGAAGCCCCAATGTTCTGACAAAAAATTGACATTATATCACTTAATCTTCATCCTAATAAGCAAATTTGGCCAAAATGTCAATAAAAGAACTAAGCTTTGACCATTTCACCTATAATTACCAACAATTTGTAATTTCAGATGAGACCCTTTCAATACAACAATTTGCAAATTTTATAAAAATGTTGTTTGAAATGACCTAGAAGATCCTAAACGCTCTCATGTCTTTCGGTTCTCTCAAAGCTTATAAGATGCAAAGATTAATGTTGTTGGTGCACAACCTTCACTTATATACAATAACCTTGTAATTACTCAATGTGGGACAAACTTAACTAACAAATCCGCCTTCATGCTTAGCTCATCAGTCCAAATAGGTTGAGTCTGAACCCAGCATTCCTCCAAACAAACAATCATAGGTTATCTAACATAATACAATAATAAATGGACTTGAGTAAAACTCATCCCCTAAAGTTAGTTCAACTATAGAGAGAGAGAGAGAGAGAGAGAGAGAGAGAGAGAGAGAGAGAGAGCAACCCACACTTACACACAATGGCAGTCTAGTAACTAATAGACTTGTTGATAAATGTGGGACAAAACAAACACAACTTGTATTCTTGCAACATACATAGAATAGATGGAGTTTGTAAGATATTTGTAATATCACTACCGAATCAAAAAACAATTATTTAAACAAGATATGCCGTTATCTTTTTTAATCTTTATTATTAACAAGAAATGCCAATGACAACTACTTTCAAATTTGAATTAGTTTTGCTCTATATGTTTGTTGAAGCTGGTATTATTTTTGTTTTAATTGAGCTCTTTCCTTCTTTAATTCTATTTTGAAGGCACAATCCACTAAATTGATGGTTATGGTACGATTTACGAATAATGATGGGTCACTAACAAGAAGAAATGATAATTATTGATTAGTGATCAAATCATACGAACTATTATATATTCACATGTGGTAAATAAGAACACAACTATTGCATGAATATTCCTAGCATAATAATTTCTTTATCCCTAAATTTTACAAGTAACTATGTTATATGTATATGCAATTCTCATTTTTCACTTACCAAGTCATTGGGTAATAAAAGCATCTCAATAACATGGGCCTCAAATCTCAAACTTTGAAGACCCTAAAGGCGAAAAAGCTAACAAAGTTGATTTATGCTCCAACCGTTAAGCCTTATAACTATAAGAGTTATTCGATCAAATTTTCTGTAGACTAATTAATAAATCATACTCTTTTCCAATTTATATTTTTTTATGCGTAAAAAGTTATAAATTATTTTTCTCACATTTCATGTTAATGCATTTAATGGACAGTGTGTAAATGCATTATATGCGACTTCATAATGGCAGACCCCATATCAATAATGTTGAAATGAATTTGACATTCTTAACAAAACAAAAATGCTTAATGAAGCACTCTAACAGTTAAGCAGGTCAACTAAACATAATATGATATTTCGTTTGAAAATACGGACAAACAATATGATTGTGTGATCATATAGCCTTACTGTATATAAAATGAATACTATTTTTAGACCTTTAGGGAGGAAATCTCAAATTAGACATAAAGCTATACACCCATGTAAGAAGCGAGTTTTAAAGTCTCAAATATCAAACTTAGCATCGATTGCAAATAAGTACCAAGGAAAACTTAGAATCCACAGTTTACTCATGCATATTCCGAATAAAACCGAACAACATGCAAATAAGTACCTAGGAAAANAAAAAAAAAAAAAAAATCACTTACTCCCATGGAACATCTCCAACAAGCATCCAATCCCCATCTTTATCCTCGTACGTCAGTACATATTCCGACCCATGAATAAGATCCCTCAGCTTGCTCTCGCTCATCATTTCCTTTTTTGGACTCCCCTGGGGCCCACATTGTCCTAAAACACAGCTCCACATCATCACAAAATTCCATATATACAACAAAACCCATACTTTAACCGAAATTACCTATAGTGAAACAGCTGAACATCTTTTCAAGAGCCGACGAGAGTTCTTGGTAAGTAGCATACGACCTCAAGTCCACTTTCCTAAGATAAGGTGCACCATCCATGCTCACTTTCACAAAAAGTGCGCCTTTTCCATCAACCTCCTCGTTGTTTTTAGAGGTTGTTGCAAGTGTATTCTTCCTGAAAGATCTAATCGGAGGCCAT